TATCAGGAGAAATTTCTTTTTCTGCAACTAACGTAGCTATTTTGAACAGCTTATTTTATGTATATGATTTTATGTTTTGAATCTTCGACAAGTAATTCTTAAACACCCACAATAAGATCCTAAAACTGCTCCGGATGTTCAAATGAAACATAATTAGGACGATTAGAAACTGTTTTATTATTATTTTGTAAGGTATTTTTCCTCCTTCCAGCATGTTTTCGTGATGTAACGGTAGCACGCTCGCTGCGTATTCGAGAGGTCCAGATTCGAGACCCAGCGAGGGCACCGCTCATTTTTCATGTCTCCTACTTCAAAATAACTTATAAGGTATTTCTCCCATCTCCTTAGCATGCCTTCGTGGTATAGCGGTCAGCACGTTCGACGCGTATTCGAGGTGTTCGTGGTTTAAGTTCCGGGAAAGGTATTGCTCATTTTTCATCTCTCCCTCTTTTAAAAAATAACGTAATGTCTCTGCAGTGGCGCCCGAACTAAAAGGGTGGTGGATGATGATTTTCCACCACCAGGATTTGGCGATTGGGTCCTCTAATCCCCAGTCGCCCTTTAAAGAGGGGAGTATATAAGGTATTTCTCCCGCCTTCTTATCATGCCTTCGTGGTGTAGTGGTCAGCACGCTCGGCGCGTATTCGAGAGGTCCGTGGTTCCAGTCCCGGCGAGGGCATTGTTCATTTTTTATCCTTCCTGCTCCTCCTCTTAATATCTGTACAATGTTTAAACCAATTGCGATATTTTTTTAAATATCTATGATATTTATATGCTTTTATTCAAAGTGATTATGCTTTATTTTATTAAAAGTGATTACGTATTAATTCATTAATATTATATGCTTTTATTCAAAGTGAACATATAGCATTACGAAGAATTGCACATGAATTTGCATTTTTTCGACTCTGTTTCATATTGTTCATGAGGGATAAAAGCCTAATCAAGCAAGTACAACTGTATTATTATTTTTAAGAGCATTTCTATGAATTGATTAGGTTTCAAAAGTAAGTACTGCAATGGGCTAGATTTGGAAGCACATTTGAGTAAATTTACTTAGGAAGCTAAACATGAGACCATTATATCAAATCATCTATAGGAACTACTTCAACAGTAAAACTGAAAATTCGCAATCTCTGCACCTCATTACTAGAAATTTACTTCTCTGTACTCTGTACTAAAAAAATACTTTTCTGTACTATATACTAGAAAATTGAAAACGATAATTACATTTAAAATCAGTAAAAAAAAAAGGGGGGGTTCGGGAATAAATTTCTAAAAAATGTTTAAGAGATATTTCGTAAAATACATTGTTCTAACAATAAACTTAGGCTTTGAAAAAGGCGTAGCATTACAACACATGTTACTAATTAGTAAGAGAAGAATTTTCAATTTTTTATTACTAACTGCCAAATTATTACTAATTTGAAGGAATATAATCGCTGAGTTTTATTGTTACTTACATATTTATGCAACCACCTTAGTTAAGTTTGGCCACTTTTTTTTTATGGATGAACAGGAAAAAGTTACTTATTAAGTCTAAGTGGCAATATCGTAAAACACGCTTTAGCAATTAAATACAAACAATAAATAATTACATACAAAATAATAAAATACAATTAACTACAAATAATTAAAATGCAGATTTTAATTATTAAATGAGGATTATAAAATACATTAAGAAAAAAAAACATTCTGTAATATTTTGCGCTGTTTCCCCAAGTACACACAGATTTGTTTCACTTGAAAAACATCAGAGTATTGCACAAACTCGAGACTGCGCACCAGTTATCTACCAAATATATATGATCATTATTCCTTTTAGCGATTTTATGACAAAATAATATATTCCTTAAGTTCTTTCACTGCTGGCCCATTCCACGAGCATATATTTTTCTAATATTTCTAATTCCTAATATTCAAATTGTGTTTGAGGCAAAAAATAGCACGGCTTGTGTATAAAAACTTCTGAAATTTGGAATACAACAAAATTAACGCATATGAAAGTGGCGACTTTACTTGACTGAAAGACTGTTATGAGCATGGCTGTAAAGTTTGGCCCATTACGAAAATATGACTACTCCTACTAAGGTGGTTTCGTTAGTACGTAAGTACCCATTAAACGTTTAGACTTAACCAAGGAGAAAAGTCAAAGAGTCGTTGGATTAAAGGAGTTTTATTGAGCTAAGCTCTCCCTGATATCGAAAGATTAATTGTGCTACAGTTTCAAAAGTTTTATGTCAGTATAAGTTGTTATTGCTTCGTATATAAGGAGAAGTTTATATTTTTATTTTGGGCCGTTGTTGTTTTTTCTGTTGAATATACGAAGTATTACAGTATAAAATTTATTAGCTATTAACTGAAAACCAATCCTACAATTCTTTACAATTGTAAAGAGGATGCAGAAGTACAGTTATATGTTTTTTCCAAATAATTAATTGCGAAGAGTGCTGAATGAACTGGCGCATTATCATCTTGTAAGATCTATATTCTCGCTGCCAGATCTGGTCTCACTCGGACAAACGCCGCGCCATACGGGGAGTAAGACCTTTTCGAAAACCGTGAAATTTCTATTATTAATAACATTATTATTATTGTAGTAAAACTCATTGCAGATTCAAAATATTTTGTTTATAGAAAACCCCATTATTATGCTAAATTAAAAGTTTAACTTTTATTCTCAGTATTATATTTTTGGAAAATAACATTGCCAGGTCCCTGAAATAACAGATTTCAGATATATAATTTCACTTAGATATATATAACATTTTTTCTTATGCATAGAATCACTTCTAATTTGCATTGACATTTGCAGATATGTTCAGAAATTTAAGTTAACCTAGTTTTTATTCTAATATGTAGAGTTAAAAATTTGGAAAAATTTTTAATTCAAGAAAATTTGAAATTCTAAAAAAAAAAAATAATAATATATATATATATATATATATAGCATATTTTTAAGCCAAAATCAGAGCTTCAGTAATTCATTTCTTCTTGGAGATATATTCAATGCATTTAGGGAACTAAGGTTATCAGATGCAATTAAAGGTAATATAAGGTAATGCAATTAAAGGTAATATAATGTAAGAATTTTAGAAGAATATACTTAAATATTAAATTCTTTTGAGGGGGGATCTATCAATAAATTTCCTTCTGAGTTTTTAACTTTTAACCGTAAACATGTTGGCTGTGAAGCTTCCTTAACGACTAACATGAAAATTAAAAGCTTAGGGCACTAAAATTAGTAAAGGTATATGTGAGATAAAAAATTTCAGTATAAATCACACTAAGATTCGGAAAATAAATCATATGATACGGCTAAACTTATAACGGTAATTAACCAGAACACAAACATTTATGAAGTTTTAAATTGCACAAAATATAATATTTCGACACATTATAAAGTCTGCATGATACATATGTTACAAGAAAATTTTATTTAGATACGTGACTTTAAAAAATTACATTAATGAGATTTTTAAAGGAATTACATTAATACTATTTATTAATAATCTGCCACACAAAGCCCAAAAGTAATTGGTTGAGCTATCAAAAGACTCAATCATGAATTCTCACAATAATGTTTCTCTGAATTCTGGATGAGCTAGAACTAAATTTTCCACAGTTTGTGAAATGCCATTAAATGTTCTTCTGTCATTCGGTATCACATACCTATATGAAACAATGTTAAAGCTTTAGAACAGTAAACACAAATGTCATCCAGCTCCGAAAAACAATGATCATGCTTTACGTCTAACAGTGTCAGATATTGCAGCAAGATTAAATTTGTTACGTATCAAAAATACAACACATCCGTCTTATTAAAACGACATCTGATTTCATTAATTTTTGAATACTTGAAACAAATTCCAAAATTATCTCTTTTCATATGCATATTTTTACCAAAAAAAATTAATTTTTTATAGGAAAATATTTTTATTTCTTTATTCTATGTTAAATAACAGAGTCGCAAAAAAATCTCGATGATGAAAAAGGATCATGAATGAAAAAAGGTGTTAAGAAATGTCTTTCTTATACACATGCTGCACATATTACTTCGCACTTATCACACGTTACATTCAAATAAAGCTTTGCGCTGTGAACTTAAAACATTATATCATTCAGTTTCAAAGCTAAACACGCATAATACCAAGAATATATAATAATTATTAACAGATTTTTTTAACAAATCTTTCGTTGAATTCGGACGCTAGAATACAGGGAATTATTACACAAGCTTCAATTTGATGTAACGATAAAAAAAGCTAAGCAAATATTCTAACAGCAACACGCTTAGGACTATTAAAATTTGAATGGCATGTACTGCATGACGATCAAAATATAAATATTACACATAAATTAGACATATGTATGCACATATTAAGTACATGACAATGGTAAATAATGATAAAAAATAGCTAAATAAATATTGAACTTAAAAATGAACAGTATGGGATAGCTAAAATTGGAGTGGCAACGTCTCATAATGATTTTAAAAAATCAATGAATAATAGAATTACGTTAGAAAGCTTTAAAAGAATTACTAAAATTAAATTGGCAATTTTATATATTGCAATAACTACCCAATGGTTAATTAATATACTGAAAATAATAATACACTGAAAACTTGAAGTATGTAGTATGTAAGAAACAATTGAAATTAGAATGATAATTAAAATATAATTCATAATTAAAAAACTGTGAACAGCAGAATAGAATTTGAAAGTTTTATAAATGAATTATTGAAATTAAAATTGGCAGTGCTATATGTTAAAAAATTACTAATTATTACACTAATTCAAAAGTGAAAATGAAAGATGAAGGGAAAAAGTATGAAAACGCATAAAATTATTAAAATAAGAATGGTGGTGTAAATGATAAATAAAAATATAGGGGGGAATTAATAAATATTACGCGGAATATCTGAAAACTATAGTTACATGTGTTTACATGTATGTGTAAACATGAAATAAAAAAAATCCAGGGTAAATAGAACTCACATGTCAGGTGATAACGCTGCAAAGGAATGATCGAAGATCACGATGAAAAGTAAACTGAAAAGAAGCGGGAAAACCGCAGATGGACGATGCGCAGAGCACATGTCGAGGACGGAGATAGAGACTTCGCAGACAACTCCGGTTTTTGTGTATACTCGCAGCGGTACTGAATTCAGGTGAAGAGATGAAATCTGTTGCGGATGGGTTACGTCACCTAAGCGCTGGCCACGCATGCGCCGCGGGTAAAACGGTTGTTCGCAGGGGTGTGACGGATGTTTTCATCTTTTGAGTCAAATATGGATTAAGTAAATAAGTGATTATATTTCATATGAGCTCTTTTCTGATGCTCATTATATTTTAGCCAATAAATTTTTGAAAAAAAAAAAAAAATATATATATATATATATATATATATATATAGCATAACTTTCTGATAAATTTTTCAGTACTGCAACTACTCGGAATTTATGCATGCTGTGAGCCTCTTCATGGCGACCACCTCTTAATGTGACCAGTATTTCGGGCGGCATAAATAAACATTTGTGCAACAATTATTACATTCTTATCTGATAAATCTAATTACAATAAATACTCTCTAACCAGACAGACAATATTCGAATACTCTCATTAAGGCGACCGCCAAATGTAAAATCTTCCAACAAACTAAAATACATCAAGCGTCATTAAGTACTTCAAGAGAAATCTATTAATACTCACATAATTTTTTTAAGGATTTTGAAAAGCTAAAAGGGATTAAAAATTATTTATTTTTTTAAGTTCTTATTCTTCTTCATCTCCTACATTCATTTATCATATAGATTATGTCGCAGCAGAGTACGCTTTGAATGATGAAATTTCTGCATTCTAAATTAGACATACTAATTTTAAATTATTTTGAATGATGAAATCCCTAAATTCTAAATTAGTAATACAAATTTTAATTATTTTTGTATAAATGCATTCATGAATTTTTAAATCATTTATACTAATTTTAACTATTTTTGAATGATGGAATTCATAAATTCTAAATTATTTCTATTGATTTAAAATTATATTTAAAAGATGGAATTTCTAAATTCTAAATTATTTGTATCAATTCTAAATTATTTTTGAATGTTGGAATTTCTAAATTCTAAATTACTTATACTAATTTTAAATTATTTTTAAATGATGGAAATTCTAAATTCGAAGTTATTTATACCAGTTTTAAATTATTTTTGAATGATGGTATTTCTAAATTTTAATTTACTTGAACAAATTTTAAACTGCTTTTGAATAATGGAGTTTTCTAAATTCTAATTTATTCTATAATTTTATAATTTTTTATACTAATAATAATTATAATGGTAAATAAGTAAAAATATAAATAAATAGTAATAGAGGTAACAGCAATAGTAATAGTAGTAGTAAATAAATAGTAATAGTAATAATAGTAACGGTAAATAAATTGTAATATAAATAGCAAATGAACGGCGTCCAGTCAATTTATCTGTGTTTGAGTTTTCTGAAATCGCTCGTATTGTGTTTCGAAATTGACAACTCAGTATATGTATTTAAAGTATCGTAAACCATAAGAGATTAGCATTAGATTAAAGTGTGTGCAACAACAAAAAGAAACAAATTTAAATTTGGAAAGATGATTTTAAAATTATTGAAGATGCTGCGGATGGTTTGTTTGGAAAGAAGTTTAAAAAGGAAAAAGAAGAAAGAAAGAAAGAAATACTGTTACGAATTTTGAATATGTGAAAATAATTTTAGTCAAACTCTTGTACCTCTTGTATAATGTAACATAATATGCCTAAGACGGCGAAGTTTTGCAGGAAAAATAAGATTACAGGGGCAAATCTATTTAACATTGAGGTAATATGGTTAAATAATCAGCTTGTCGGTGCCAGCTCACCGTCAAGCTGGCGATGCTTTTAGCGACTAATTTTTAAGGGCACATTTAGCGAGAAATCATCAGAAGTTGCCAAACTTAGCGATAATTTGGTGACATTTTGGACTGTTCCCTGTACAACTATAACTGGTACTGTAACTGAATAACTGTAACTGATGTCTATATATAATAACTGTAACCTTATTCGGCCATTATATGTAATTTTAACTGTACACTGCGAAAAAAAAAAAAAAAAAAAAAAAAAAAAAAAAAAAAAAAAGACTCTTCCTATATCTCCCGTTCTACTGGACCGATTGACAAAATTCAAATTGCGTTTTTCATGTCTCGAAAGCGCGACTTAGGATATATATTAGATTTCTATATAGCATTGTTCTAACATAGGTATTTTGACATAAAATTGGACTTTTTCTGAAATAATATACCAATTTTTTTACATATTTTGATTCTACGACTCAAATTATGCCTAGATATTAAATTTTGTAAAAAATGGTGCTAAATTTACGGAGAAATTCAAAAATTTATCTTGGCATAATTTTTTCAGTTTTTGCCAAGAATAATTCACTTGGCGATCTTCTTAATAATATATGGCAACCAATTTTCCTTTCCCTTCCATTATGCCGGAGCGGAAAAAAAAAAAGGCACCTCGTTCCTACCTTTTTACATTGTGCGAGAGCAAAAAAAATGTCAAATCGTTTCTACTTCCAAATAATTTTATTGTGTCCAATGTGTCAAATAATTTTAGTGTGTCTAAATGTAACTTTTAGTGTGTCTAATTTTAGTCTAATTCACATCTGATGTTTTATCGCTTTCAACAAATATGCCAAATTTCAAACCGCGCCAATATATAAATTCACGCATATCTTCGGAGATTTTGAATAAAAAATTGTAAATATTTGTAGGTATGCTTAGTAATACGTCTTCTTTACGATGATGGTAAAAATTTTATAGATTACAACACAATTTTTTTTTTGAAAAATTTATAAAAATTATTTAAAAATACAAGTTTTAAAAATAAATTATAAAAAATGAGTGAATTTTATTTGGAATGAATATGAATTTCGAAATGTGAAAGGGAGAATCAAATTAGCTTAATTAAAAAAGAGAGATTAATAAATATATACCAAACTCAATAAGCACTGAGGAGCTAAAATTTTAAAAGCTAATTTTTAAAAAACTACTCGTGCGATTTTTACAAAACTTGGTAGTTTGGCGTAATTTGAGACGCAGATGAAATATGGAAAAAAGTTGGTATGTTATTTTAGAAAAAGTCCGATTTTGGGTCAAAATACCTATATTAGAACAATACTATGTATAAATCTAATACATATCCTATCCTAAGTTGCGCTTTTGAGATATGAAAAACGCAAGTTAAATTTCGTCAATCGGCCCAGTAGAACGGAAGATATAGAACAGTTCCCCTCTTTCCCCCCCCCCCCCCATTGTACATGCCTTCCACTAATTTCGAGAAATGAAAGGTCCTAGAGATTTCTTGGCGGCCTGGAGAGAAAAGGCTATATAAGCCCCGAAAGAGCATACGTTTTCAGTTGTTTAGTTCAGCGTTAAGTTTGCAGTACTGAGAGATCTTGGCTTGAGCTTCGCTCTTTAGATGTCATTTGCACTGAGTTGTGTTTAACTTTCTTAGTAGTTTGAAGTGGTAATTATGGATTGTGCTCTGTCATACTGGTAAGCCTTGTACGAGTACTTTTGTGGAATGTTCCAGAACTGCAAAGTGTTTCTTTAGTGAAACTATATGGTATTTCTTCCGCCTTCTTAGCATGCCTTCGTGGTGTAGTGGTCAGCAGCCTCAGCGCGTATTTGAGAGGTCCGAGGTTCGAGTCCCGACCAGGGCATTGCTCATTTTTCATGTGTCCTCCTTCGAAATAACCTAATATGTCTACAAAACAAAATTTTATCAAATTATTCTTCGTTCTGCGTGCACTCAATCTATTACGAACCCGTCGCACGCAACAATATGATATACCAATGAATATATGAAATATGACAGATGATAAAAAAGATGATTAATTTAGTATTTTTGGAGTTTCTGCAATTTAATTTAAAATAGTGAATAAATAACCTGAAAAGAAAATCAAGTAGGCGATATACTTCACGGATATTTTAATCAAAATCAAGCGTCTGCTTCCGAAATCAAACAAAATTTATAACTTAATATTATCTACTTTATTTACAAGCTCTGTTTTCTTACTATATTTGAAAAAATTAAGTAAAAGATAAATTCCCTCCAAGCTTTTTAGCTATACTTTCTGCGATTTTGTGAATAAACTCGGAATTTTATTGTGCAGAATGTTTTCATCTCTGAAGAATAGACATGTGTGTATGTATGTATCTTTCTTACATTGCGAAAAATGCCGGCATTAAGAACCACCAAATTTTGAGGACACTTAGTTCTCTACCCAAACATGTGTTCTAAATAAGAATTTCGTTTTTTTTTCTTTTTGAAATTTTTTATGCGAAATTATACGCTTTATACTAAATTAATTAAATTTTCATTTTTAAACTCAGCAATTTGATAGGAATGTTTTGCCACTCGTCAAAGCATAGCCTATTTTAAATTTAATCATAAAATTAAGCGATTTAAAAGATATATGTCGCCACTCGCAAAACATAATATGTTTGTCTTTCAAATTTAATCAGTAAATTCGGAGATTGAAAAGAAATGTATTACCGCTATCTGAAATAATATATTTTTTCCTTTTCACGTCCCAATGTGTAGCTAGTCAGCCAAAAATAAGATATTTAATTTTCCTTTCAAATTTAGTCTCTAGTTCTGATTAACAAACTACGGCATTTAAAAGTCAGAACATTTATTTGGTTTCTTTGTTTGCATATTCTACGCGGAAAGAACATTGCAACAGTAAGTTTTTGTGTTTAAGTAGTTCTAAAATTACCGTAAAATATCAAAATCAGTGAAATTTTAATCAGCTTTTGAACAATTAGCATCACTTTTACAATTACTTTTAAATTTTCATCATCATTCCATATATACATAAAACGCTTTTAGCTTTTAATTTTGCAGTTCTGTATTGCCACACTTAATGATTTCCCTAACGTTGCTATTTTTCCTGAAGAAGTTTTACTTCGTCTGTACTACCGTGTGGAAGTGCTCCAGCGAATTTTCGAAGTGCATATTGGTTCGCAACGATGGCAGAGGTTTTTAAAATAGTCTCTAAAGAGTTTCAATTGCAAATTCTATCACTTAATATTTCGTAAAAAGAGGAAATAAAATTCTATTTT